TACAGAACCGAGTACCTGTTCAATTTTAACGATAAGTTCGAAATTCACGACGATATTGAAGTTCTAAAGCAAATGGGTTTAGCTTTCGGTAAGCAATTTGTTTTATATTTCTTTTTGAACCTATCAGTCAGATTATTTAAAGAGAAATAATATTTGATCAGGTTTAGAGAAGGGTGAATGCACAGAGGAAAATTTGCGGAAGGCCAAATTAATGGTTCCAAAATCTCTGGAGAAATATGTGGAACGTACGTATGATTCATAATTAAACAATTGTTCAGATCGTTATATGAATTTTATATTTCAATGCTTTACTTTAGAGCTAGCATCTGGTGATTTGGAAAAATTCATCCCAGTGACCATTCCTGGACCAAGTACCTCAATGGAAGATCTGGACACAAAATTGGAAGGCTCTCGACCTCCTTCATCTTCTCATACTTCACTTTCAGAGGATGTTCTATCGCCACCCTCGCAGTATTATTCCGAGGAGGAAGATGAAGAAGAGGAAAGTGATCAAGATGACCAAGCCGATAGTGATCTCGAAGTTAACTAGCACTCCGAACGATTTTCTCGGGGCTGGACTCAGGGTGAGTAATTCATAATATATAGAATTAAAGAAATCTTTTTAATGTACAAATAGTGTAAAATTTGTATTTTACAGGATACTCGTCACTGTTAGCAGCGTACTCGACATGGTCGTCATCGATATCGCTCTTAAAAATGTCATTCTTGTGCGCAATCAAGATGCAAACGAGTGACGGTAGTCGAGGGTCTCTTAAATATGGAACCTCGTTGTCACCGTTAATAAAAGTCTGTTAATGAAAAATGAGGATGGTCAAAAAGTGAATTAAATGTCGATTGGGGCCAAGGAGAAACACACAAAAAAAAAACAAATCGTGTAGGCATAAAACACAAAAGCTTCAGAACGTCTCGTCTGAAAAAAGGAGACTCTCGATGCATGACGATCGACAGGATCCATGATTATGTGGCGCGACTGAAACCCGGGGTGCTATTTTAATTGTGCATCATCTTAACAGGTTTATATGACTAGCATCTATGTATTGTAAATTATAATCTTTACAATGATATCGATATTAATGTGTACGAGACATTATGACCAGTACTCATTTTCTTATGGCACGTTTATAATTAATATCGCCCAAGCTAATATGCCAAGATAAATGGTATTCTGAACAAGGGCACACGTCTGATTCAATTTCGAACTAAAAATAATAAATTGTAATAATGTTATTGCACTGTGTATATCAATTTTCTCTACCTGTATGTGTTTAATTGCTTTTCCAATAGACATATATTTGCTTGTTTAAAACTTTGATTATAAATTGATATAATAGAACATAATTTATAAATATATAATATTAAGAATAATTATTTTAATTTCAGTTTTTATAGTTATTTATAACGATCATATATATGTATTATATAAATTCAAAATTTGTTACTGTTATCTGAATCAGTTCAAATAAAAGATGAAAATAGATTTATTAAAAGTAGTCATAAAAGCAAATCTGTTCCATGTTTTTTACTTCAATTTCTACTATATATCACAAAGCATTTTAAATTAAATATTTACAGAATGCTTTATAAGTTGTTTTTCTTTTTCATTATAATTACTCTTACTATTGCTATTATCAAAATTATAAATTTTTATTCAAGATCATCATCGTCATATAGATCATCAAAATCTGAAAGAAAGCATTATTACTCATAAGATACCAGTAGTATTTGTTATGCTATCAGCATTAATTAATTTTGAATGAAAATATTATCTTTATTTACCATTGAAAAAATCCGCATGTACTGCTTTTTCACTTGCAGTTAAATCAACCAACAAACGACTACCTCCAACCTAAAATAATTTTAATAAATTCATGATTATCAATATTCGTATTGGTTTATTTTTTCCTCCAGAACAATCATTCACAAACTTTTCGAAAATTATCAATATATATAATTTGGAGAAAAAAAAAACGATATTTAGTTCATCATTTACTAATAAAAATTAATGTTTCAACGTAAACATAACCTTATTAAACTGATACGTACCTCTTCTAATTCGATGTAAGATCCAGCACCTTCTGGAAACATCTCATCTGCTACAAGGGTAGGTTTCATTTTATTACAAATGTGAATTAAACAAGGACTGTATAAATTTTTTGCAAGGCTATTATGGCTGGATATATATACAATTAATAACAAGCTACTATGCAACAGTAATATGTTATCCAAAGAATTTGAAATCTTGTATCAGCGCCCTCTCGAGAAAATTGACAAAGTTACATAACCAGGTATGTATTTTAAATTACTTTTTAAAATTCTAATGGATATTTTCACAAAAAAATAAGGATTAAACAAAATGGTATTCAACGATATCTATCTCTGTTTTTTTTTTAAAAAACTGTAATTATTATTAATCGTAATAATATACTCATCATTGACAATGACGCGGCTATGTGCACATTAAAACACCTTAATCCGTATCTTACAAGACCAGCTTTTCTTTTACACTATATACAGTAGCTAAATATTGTATTATTTCATTTTGCAATATAATAAAACTATTTATATATTTATATATGCACGTATGTGTTTTTGAATCGTTGTAAGTGTCTACACTTTCTATTTTTACATGCAGACACGTGCAACAAATTATAACAAAATTCATCAGCTTCTTTAATTTTCTTTCTATGCTTAGCATAAGCAAGAAACGATTCGAAATTAAACAATTCTGCTTGGCTTGCTTATTCTCTGTACAACGTAATAGGCTCCTCTAAGGCTCAGCTTATCGCCGACGAATTTTTTCTTCGGCGTCCAACGACGTATAACGTTATTCTTCGTCTCAGAATTCAGGAGACTATATAATTTAATATTAACATCTCGTTCGACCCTAGAACCAGCTGACTCGATTATTATATTTTACTAAAATCACGATTAAAATCACGATTGGAATTCTTCTGATTTTAGTTGGGATTATATTTTATTTACAAGTTGATTAAAGTTAAACTTCTCTTTCGTTGAGTCCGCATATTCAATTGCATTTAACTGTAACTCTCTATATTCTATGTAAAATCAATCATACAGATAACAAAAAATATACATATCAAAACTTGAAAACAAAAAATCGTCATCTTTGAGCGAGATAATCTTCGTGATAGCTTTGATTTATTAGAACGATCTACAATGATTCTTTTGTACCCCATATTGTTTGTATAAATATACAGAATAAAATATTGTACAACATTTTCTAAATGAGGAGATTCTTGAGCTAAGGTAACATAATTTTAAATGTTTCTACGGTTTTGAGAATCATACAAGAGCAAGAAAAAGAGATAGTCGAATATAATAAAGTATAGGCATTTGTAGCATATTGCACCGTCATTTTACATATAGTTTATTTTGACTTATAAAAAAATGCTGATTAGACCACTCTTTTTATGAGTCATAAAAAGTTGTCGTTCAAAATGAATATTGTAACAGCAAGAAAAAAAAAAGAAAACATTTATAAAACATTTCATTTGCACGTTTTCATAGATCACAATTCCATCGTTACGAAGATATGATTTCATTAAATGAAATCGTTCTTAAAATTGATAAATAGTAAGCAACAATATTTAAAAGTGACACATGAGTCACGAATTATTTAAAAACGTTTAAATAACGTTTTGTTTTATCCCTTTTCTTTTTTTGTTAATTCTTTTACAGACATTTCATTCAGTCGTACAAAATTGTATCAAAAATCGTACAAAATATTCGTACAGAGGTACAATATCGTGAAAGTACGATACATTAGAGCTCTTATATTTTTCAACATTGATCGTCAATAATTTAAAAAGAACGAAAGAAAAATATTTAAGAAACATATAATTATAGTACTGTTAGCTCAGGAATCTCTTATACATGGATACGGTACTTCTAAAGGGACACTCTGTACGGATGTAAAACAATATTAAAAAGTAGAAAATATAGACAAAACTATCGTTTGACAATACTAATTTTTTCTATGGAAATCTTTATGTATTCCGAAAAATAGCATACGACACTCGATTTTAGTACGGACTTCACATCGTAGTTGAATAAAAATAATTGTTGCAATTAAAAAAAGTAATAAGTACAGAAAAGCGGACATATGGGAATTTGATTGACTGGATCTAGGGTCAAATACATCGGTCCGCGCAGAGAAATTCCGTACCCCGGATTCCGAGCGAAGAAGTTACGTTTTATCTTCGTCACAGAATGAAGAAGGAAACAAAATTTATATTTGTTTCCGCATAAGAAAGAAAATTGTCCCTCTATCGCTGGCATACACGGCGAAAGTCCAACGAGGACAAACATTTTTTAATGTATAACGAATTCCAATATGGATATGGACGATTATTTTTGATTACTATTTCTCATATAGTCCTCTTTTTTTAATGAACATCCATAAGAGTGGATGCTTATTTATCATCGTAAAATTACGCAGTTATCCTTAAAAGGGAAATTCATGTTCCCCGGAAATGAGTTAAAAAATGAGATTGTTCGGTGTCAAAGTAAAAACGTAAAAACCAGAAGGAGCGCAAACGAATTAACTATCACATTATAAACTATACTACTGTGTAAAAACGTATTTCCATTCTATGTAGAGCTTACTTACAATAACAAATACAATAAATTATTAACATTGTACTTGGTATAAAATATATTTTAATATATATATATATATATTAAATATATGATTATATATATAATTATATATATATATATTAAATATATGATTATATATATAATTTTATATATATATATTATATATATATAATACCAAATGAATCATAAAAACGATGAGAAATGCGTGTTGATAGTTCTTACGAATTTACTTTGGTAAAAAGTATATTATTACACGCCTACAATGCTAGATACGAATAGATATATCTAACAACGGACATTCGATGACTCGTATACTAACGATAACTGCGTAATTATAATTGATGCATATTATTGCGGTAGACTATACGATTAATTGATCTAATTCATCGAAGAAACTGCTACTGCGCAGTAAGATTGTCCTCGTCTATAACTCGGCTAAATTACAATTCTTTCTCCGCCCGAAAGTTTATTACTTCTTTTACTTGTTACGTTCTTTTCTGCATTTTTTAAATATATATTATTTCTACTATAATGTCAATCGACCATTCTGTTTGGGGAGAGGGGAGAACACTCGAGCGATCCAGTAATTATGGGGGGATACTGAACGTTTCTGCGCGGCCCAGGATTAATTTGCCTGGAAGATCGGACCGCGTGGTAAAACACAGCCATCACGTAAGCTTCGCACTGATTACAAAATCTCTCACGCAGCTTCTCATTCGCACATTCACCGGTCTTTCACTTTCTCCCTCGTGTACTTACAGCTCTCATCCTCTTATCGCATGTATTCCTCTTATTCGACTTAGACTAAATACAATCGTAGATTACAATTATGTACAATTAACTATTTCTTACTGTGAAAGTTCCGACGAGGCCGCGTACGAAGTAATCTCGAGAATCATCCCCGTTTTAATCCAACGTTCTTTTAATCGTTTCTTCCTATTTTTTTTTTTTCAAGTTCTCTGTACACATACAATACACACGCATAATTCAGACATACACACATACACAGGAGAATTCGTGTAGACAAGACAAAAAATGTTTTTTCTTCTTTACAACATCAGTCCGTTGAATTCACAGTAGATTCCATGGAGACCTTCGTCAACAACCTCGACTGTTTCTTCAATCTGCTTTCTCTTTCATCAAGGAAAAACAGACATCTGGTCGCCGCCGCGAAATGGCACGCCCGTTTTCATCTCTCGAGTATTGTTTAAGAATAAAACCGGATTATTTTTGTTTTTTCTCGAGGAGTATAAATTCTTCTCATTTAACGTAGGAGAACGTCCGTTGAAGCGAGTCCAGAACGAGTATATCTTAGAAGTCGCGCGACCACCTTGTTCCTCTCGCCGAAATGAGCGTTTTTGTTTCGTGATTCTGTTGCCGTAAGAAGGTGAAATTTATAAAAGAAATTCATTAATATGAACAAAGAATAATCATCGTATATACATAAGATAATGATATTGATTAATAATAATAATATTAATATTAATAATAATAAAATATAATAATAATAAAATAAAAAACATGATCTATAAATATCATCAACAGACTAATGCAAGTAATTCTTACATACAATTTTGTAAAAAATGTTGTATCAAGAACTATCGTATCATAGGCTTAGTGAAAACAGTTGATAAAATTCATACTCCGTACTTTATCAATTATATGTACAACTCCTATTGAAAATCTTGAACCTAAACGGATCTATCTGCAAAACAAAAAATATTTGATCACTAACGATTTGATTATTAATATCGATCTATTTATCGAAGTAGTATTATTCAATTTAATAATATTAGTAAAATATTTGACCTGATTTAAAGCAAATACCAAAAACTTGAAGTTTTGAAGCCTACGACGACATCAGTGTTGTCTGTCTCTTTCTTAGATCTTTCCACTAAGCCAACGATACGCTGCAACAAATATGATAAAAAATTGTCTTGTAAGAATATGCAATACCTCGATCTTCTTCGACCGTATCACTTGGAGGAACAGTTTTTCACCTTATTACGGCAACATGCTTTCACCGCAAGCGTGTATCGAGTCCGTTTTCTTTATCGATCGTAAAAATCATACAAGCACCGTGTGTATGTGTTCTTGTCCTCTGCTTCATTACTCCACGAGTATCATTAATTATCACCTAACTTGGCATCCCTGCGGTATACTTGTCGCGGCAGGACACGTGGAGGAGTCCCTCTGCACGGAACTATTGTTCTCCTCCTCTTCTTCTTCTTCCTCCTCTCTGGAAGATTCCTCCTCGTCTTGGCCCTTGATCGGTGGATTTCTCGTCTCGTTCGAAACTTCAAGACTTCCCGGTTTCTCCCTCGTTAAACTGGACTCCTCACCGTGGACTGGTGGGCCCTTCAACTCGTAGCCCTCTTGACAACGTGTCAATTTTAACCTAATCGGAGTGACTTTCGCCGAACGAACGTTTCTGGGTGCACTACCACCAGTATCTGGGTCGGTAGGTTGTTTCTCTTCGATGTTAGCAGCTACCGATGGGTAAACAGGCTCGTCTTTGACCGGTTCCGGAGGTGGGGGACCTACTCTACTATCAGTCGGATGTCGTTCCTCTTCGTCCTCTTCTTCCTCATCCGTGAGCAAAATCGGTAATTCGTATGGAGAATCATTACCTTTGCCGAGTCTTATTATTAATTTCGGAGGAGCGGTTCCACCCTCGAGGATACGTACCCTAGCTTCCTTTCTACTCGACTGTCGTTTCTTTCGTTTACTATTTCTATCCTTTTTACTTTTCCCTCTTAATTTCTCATCGTTATCGAAACCGGCCATGATCATACGCCTGAATTTCATACTCTCTCTCTTTAACTCCTCGATGCTCGGTGTACTACTAGGAATACTGCACAACCGCTTTTTCGGCGGTCTGATCCTCGTTCTGTCATCCTGGCCACTTTCTTGGCCACCAATTATGCTGTTACCGATCTTGATCTTCAACTTCGGCGGACCACTGTTCGTAGTAGTGGTCGTGGTGGTCGTAGTCGTCGATCTACCGCCACTACTCTGCCTGCCTCTCCTACGATCCGTGTTTCCGACTGGAGCGTTACCACTGGAACTAGCACCGTTAGTAGCGCTGCCCCGCCTTCTCTCGACGCTTCCCTCTTCCTCGTTAGTATCCAAGAATCCGGCAGATCTTTCTTTTCTTCGTTTCTTCTCCATGTTCGCATCGACGACTGCCTTGTAGTCTTCCCTCGTGGGTATACTGGTCATCGAGGCAACCGCTTTCGGTATTGTTATCACTGTGCGATTGATCTGTGGCATGATGATTGGTGCTGACGTAGCTAGGTTTCCACAGCCTGGCTCGTCCATATTCATATCCTGAGAACAGTACTGCCGGAGCAATTCCTTCTTTCGCATTCGTCTAAGGTTTGAGGTTCCGGAAGCGATGGAAGCACTGGTAGCGGCTGGTGTGATTATCACGGGCGCCTGCTGTGCAAGCGGTGGTACCGACGAGGTAGCAACGTAATTAGCATCCAGGAAAGGACCTTTGATCTTAACCTTCAGCTGGTTTCTCGAATCCGTCAAGGAGACTTTATTGGCGTCAACAAAGCCAGAAGATGAGGCATCGATACTCGCATCAAAATTCGGCTTTGAACAGTCTTCTTGACCTTGCTTGATCAGCGCGGGTCCGAATTCTTTCTCGAGGTCTTCTTCGATATCCGGGAGGGCAGGATCATTAGCTGAAACACTCGTAAACGTACCCAGGAAATGATTCTCGTACGTCTGACCATGCAAGGTAGAAGAACTTGAAGCATCAAGAGTGGAATTGTATGTTCTCATATCGACAGGGCCTGGAATAAGTGGTAGGACGGTATCGAAGCTCTGTCCAGCGTTTGACTGACTTTCCACGACAACAGAATCATCATGACTTGGAGAGCAAGAGAGTCGTCTGTCTTCCAGATACTTCCTGCTACCTCCAGGGCTGGAGAGTCTTGACTGAACGCTTTCTCCGGAAGCCATGACCGTGGAATCTCTCCTTTCGACTCCAGCCGTCGCGGCATCAGTCGACTTCTTTCGCTCTCTCATAGTGCGTAAATCGGCAATATTCGCCTCACTAGTTGAGTCTTCGTCGGAATCGAAGTCGTAAACTGTGCCGACTAGTTTGTTCTGAATGGAGTCATCGTGTTGGCCAATACCCGCGCCGGAGACCAGAGAGAGTCCTGAATTTTGTCCGCTTCTACCTCGACCTCTGCCTCTTCCGCGTCCACGCCCCCTATAACCGGAGTGTTGCGCCGAATTTTTGGCACCTCTGCCACGACCTCGCGCTCCAGGAACGTTTTTCTGCGTTTCCTGTCTTGGAGATTTTCCCGGAGACTTCCCTTGCAAAGACGTTACACGAGCAGATGTCCTGGTAGGTTTGGAAGGTGACTTTTTCCCAGAATGTTGGCTCTTGCTGTCCGTTAGGGCTTCTTGAAGGCTCTCGACAACGGTGTCGCTGGCATGACTCTCTGGTGCTACGGTGTTTAAGAAGTTTATTGGCAACGAAGGTGAAGCGGTTACTTGCGTTTGTAATTGTTGTTGCGTCCTCTCTATAGGTTCTGCAGGTGGAACGGTGACTTGTGGAGGTGGTGGCGGTGGTGGTGGAGGTGGTGTGACTATCTTAGTAGGCGAGACCATGGCTGCGGTAAGCGCCATGTTGTGCGAGGAAGACGTGAATGCTGCGGTACATGGCGAAGCTTGTAGATTAAGCGAATCTTCTAGCGGTTTCACGTGTGGCAATAACGATTGAGCTCCTGGAAACGCAGCTCCAAATGCTGGCGGAAAAAGAGCTGGTCCAGGAGAAGGGTAAGGTAAAGGTGCTGCACAGGACTGTGGCGGAAATAGGCTGACTGGACCGGTACCGTAACTCGAATCCGCGTAGTATGTTGTTTCCATGGAACATGGTGGAAACGGAATGCTCGGTACGTTCTTGTAAGGTGGAATGGAATGATCCTCCGCGGAAGAGGCGGAAGTAATCGAAGATGATGTAGATCTTCGGGAAGGCAAAACTTGACTTTCCGCCCACCTGGTGTCTGGACGACCGTTTATATCATTGTACGGTGAATTTTGATCGTACTCCTGCTGTCTGACAACGTCGTCCTCTTTATCGAGCACCCTGTCCATCATTTCAGCAGCCTGATCCTCTTCTGATGCTGGCAAACTGATCAAATGTCTGCTCATTATTTCCATAGGACTTTCTTCAGGTATCTGTTGATCGAGTATCGTCCTTTCGTGTGGCTCTTGCTGACTATGTAGAATCGAATGTGATTGCTGCAAAAGATACTGTTCCTGGATACTCGGTGCGGTCAAATGAGTACGCGCGATAGAATCGTTCTCTGGAATAGTTTCATTAGAAAAATGATTGCTGTATCGACGATTTTGCGTCTCCATCAAAGCATTCAAATGTTGCACATCACTCAGTTCAAAACTATTGATGCTTGGTGGAACCCATCTCTCGTCAGTCTCCGCTCGATCGAGTTTTGATCGTTCCACTAAACTTACTTTGTTCGCCTCACGATCCTCTTCATAGGCCGCATACCTATCGTTACCGCTCGAGTAGCATGTTTTTCTCTTTTCCTCTACCGTACTCTTATTATAAGTGCTAGGACGGGTTTCATTAATAGCTACCTCTTCTTCGGAAATTTCAACATTTTTTACGTTTAGGACTGGTTCTGCAATAGGCTCGAGCATCTTTGTCTCTTTTTCTGCTTGAGTTTGAGCAAGTTGCTGTTGCTGCTGCTGAAGTTGCGGGGATTGTTGTGGTTGTTGCGGTTGTAGTTGCTGCGGTGGTTGTTGTTGTTGCTCGTACGTTTTTTCTATTGGTGGTTCCTCCTTTTTGATTTCGCCATCCACAGGTACTGCCTCTAATTCGAACTGACTAGAATTTGATTTCTTCGAGAGTTCCATACGCAATTTCTCAACAAGATGCAATGTTTCCCTCGCGCTATCTTCTTTCGAATCTTCCTTGAACCACAACTCATTATTGAACGAGAAACTTAATGGTACACCCCGCTCTTCCGCATCTCTTGATATACCAAATCCATCTTCGTTCACTATTTCTTCTGTTAACATATCCTGGTCAAAATCAAACAATTCCGAAACACTCGCATCTTTACCATGTTGTGGCGAGAAAATTGATCTATTTGCAGATTTTCGTCGTTTTTGATGGTCTTTTTCAGAATTTTCAACTCTTTCCAAAACAGATTTGACGTTGTCATCTTTGCTGCTTTCTTTCTGCACATTGTCTTCCACGGGAACGGGCTGAGGTTCGATATTTTGCGGTGGTTCAACACTTCGTTGTTCGACAATTTCCTCCAGGTTCTTCGTTTGATTCCGATCCGTTTTCTTCTTTCCAGCTATAACTTTCTCGATTTCTGGTACCTCGGAAATATCCTTCTTTATTATCTCTTCCTCCACTTGTTCTTCCGATTTTGGTTTCTCAATAATAATATCGCTCTCGTTAATATGGTTTTTACGATCTTCGTTTTTCACAGCTTCTTTCATTTGTTGACTTTCTTCCACGGATCCCTTCTCTTCATTTTCCTCGTCACAAGCAACTTTCTCAACTTTCACCTCCGAATTTTTACTCTTAGACATTTTGTCGTGATGTTCACGTTTCTCCAACAATTTATCTAATCCCCTCAATGATTTTTTCGGACTATCCCTTTCCGCTCTACGCTGTTTCATTTCTTCTTCCAAAATATTGATCGCGTCCTTGCCTCCAATCTTTTTAACTTTCTTCTCTTCGTTCTTTGAAGAATTGTCCATGCATTCGTTAGTTTTTCCTTGATCAACAATCTTTGGTTCGTCTTTTCTACTCTCCTCTTCGTTTTTATTTTCTACTATCTTGACAGGTTGCTTGTCGGTTAACCGTTTCTCCGATTTCTTGATCGTTTCTTTCCCACTCTTTTCATCCTTTGCGACAGACTCGTTCGGTTTTCGCTTTCTGCCTTCGGACTTGGTCTTCTTATCTTCTTTCCTTGACAAGGACTGCTGCTTACTAGCTTGACCCGACTTTTTGGGAGGTCTGGACCCAGGAACACTTCTTGCCCCATCATGATCTCCAGACCCAATGAGCAGATCCTCATTAGTCTCTGTTCCTGTTGTTGTGGCTCCCGCTGTTGCTGGTTGCTTTTGTTTGTTGTCTCTTTGATCCTGCTTCTTGACAGTTGCTTCTTGTTGTTGTGTCTGTGGCTGTTGTTGTTCTTTAGGGGTTCTACGAGATTCCTCTCTCTCAGTAGGCGGCTGAAACTCAGGTCCCCGCCGCCCGTCGGAAGTTTTAAGCTTCTTCTCGGGCAGCTTCTTGAGTTTCCGCCCTGAAATTTGTTTTCTTTCAGCATCCTGTCGTTCTGGTGACGTTTTATTAGACTGTTGCCTTCTATTTGCTGTGCTTGAAATTGTAACCGGTTTACTTTTCGTTTTGTTACCAGTATCACTTTCAGAGGAAGTAGAACAAGAAGAACCGTCCACCAATTCATCTGAGAATTTCCTACGTTCTGGATTTTCGGAATCACTGCTACTTTCTGAGGAACTACTACAACTATTACTACTACTGCTGCTATCGCTGTTGCTTGAAAGCACCGACGACTTTTGGTCGCTCGGTTTTCTAGGTCTTCTCGGGCGACTCTCCTTTGAGATGATTTCCTCTTTCCTGGAGGACGATTCTTCTTTCTTAGAAATCAATTCGTCCTTTCTGGATGAAACTTCCTCTTTTCTAGAGGATGAGGAAGAAGAAGATGAAGAAGAGGATGAAGATGACGAAGAGGATGAGGAAGATGACGACGATGAAGATGATGAGGATGTTTCTTCTTTTCGCGAAGGAAGTTCTTCTTTTCTGGAAGAATCGTCCTTTTTAATTTCCTTCCTTTTTCCTGCTTCTGGAGATTCCTTTTTCGATCTTCCGTCAAGCGTCTCCTGTTCGATTTGCTGCGTAGTCTTAGTACCCATGCCACTTTTGATGTGTTCGGCGGCCTTCTTGGCAGCTTGTCTTTGCGGCACATACGCCAAAATCTCCGTTCCATCTTCTTTATCGAAATCATATACATCGTTATTTTTAGTTTCTTTCGACTGTTTGTTTTCTCTCTGTTTTTTATTAGGAGTTTTGTCTTTTGATTGCTTCGACGAGGAACATTTCGGAAATTCCTCGACAGGAGACTTAATTACTTCTGGAGTAGATTCAGGCACCGAATTGTCTTTTTTGCCTTGCTGTGTGCGTTGCATGATTTCCGAAGCTTTCTTCGCAGCTTGTCTCTGTGGAACGATTAATGCGGAAGGTATATATTCTTTCTTTTTAGAGCCAGCTTTATTTTGATTCTCTTTATTCTTCGATCCTGTATTATGATACGTTGATTCGACATGTCTGGGATCTTTGCCAAAACTTTTTTGTGAATTTTTTGACAAATTTGCTGCGGAAAACTCTTTCACTGCTGCTTTTGTGATTAAAACCGCAGAATGAGATGCATGTTCTTGGGAGTCAGAGTCAGTATCTGAATAAATAGTGGAAGCGGTAAAATGCTTCGTTGCGCCACCGCTTAACATTAACAGTTCGTCGCTTTCACTACCAGAAGCACTTCCTAATTCTTTCTCCATATGTTCGAGCGTATGCGATCTACTATTCACAAGCTTTTCATTTTCACTGTTATCTCTAAGCGCCGAATGTAATTTATCAGCCGATTGAACAGTCTTTTTCGTTTTTCTTCGCGATAGTTTAGTTTTCGTCGAAACGTTAGTTTCTTCTTCCGTACTCGACTCAGTTTTCGATTTTTCGGTTGTCTTCACCTTAGCCGCATCCGTTTCACTACTACTGACAGATGATAAATCACTGCCATAAAGAGTCTTTCTTCGGACAGAGCCATTAAAGTATAACTTTTTACTAGAGGCACCATTAAAATCTTGTTGTTGTTGTTGCTGCTGTTGTTGCTGCTGCTGAGTCTTCTTCTCTTCACTAGTCGGAGAGTCTATACCAGCGATTCTGGCAATAATTGTGTCAAAGTCGTGAGTGTGATCCTCCGAGTCAGGGTGGGAATATAATCGGTCGTATATCGAAGGTCCATGATTTGCTTCCATTACAGCAGCGGCTGCTGACGGTGGTAAAGGTGGACCAGACATTAGTAAAGCTTGCTTGTGGAAAGTCTGCTCTCGTAATCTGAGGAAGGTTCGACAGAGTTTTTCTCTTCTGCCAACCATGTAACATAGGTTTCGAACTCTTTCCAGATCTTGGCGTAATTGCACAAATGTCCTCATCTTTTCAAGATCTGCTGCTTGTCCTTGATTACGCGATCCACTACCAGAAAGTTCTCCACAACGTGGTGCCAAAAGCGGTTTGTTATGACCGGCCTATAAAATTAAATGAAAAAATTAAGAAAAAATAAATTTAACATAAGAAAGCTGTTCACTTATTTCATTTATGATTTTCCGCTTATTCTCGATATAAATGTTGACTTTATAAAGAAACAACGCTAAAATTAGTGAAGCGAAATAGAATGTTTAAATAGGGTGTAGAAAAAAATAAATTTAAACAAGTAATTCAAACATATTAAATTAATAAGTCAAATTACTTTTATAATTATAATCTTAAATAGAAAAATCGTAGATTAATAACAATCATTAGTACAGAAGCACATAGTAAACAACAAAAAATTATTATTAGTTTCAACTAATATGTGATGTTTTCAAATCTTACTTACCCTTCTTTTGAGCTTCCAATAATTATAAATATAAACAATGCCATCAGGATCGACATCTAACTGCTGCGAAGCGATATCCTTTAAACTCACGTGTTTGTCAAATTCTGCTTCGATTTCCTGTAGTCTAATGAAAAATAGACGAAAATTTATAATAAATATAGGAAGTTGATAAAGAAAAATTAACGAAATAGTGATTAAACACATACTTTGCAGCACGTGCTTGATTTTTCTCTTCAGAAGTCATGTCTTTTCTCTTACGTCTTCTAGACTCCGCATCTTCGGAATCTGATCCCGCCTTATCAACTCCACTTCCTATAGTGCTTCCAGTACCTTGAACTTTATCTTTCGTATTTGTTCTACTATGTTTCTGGCAGTAAGACTGTAAATAAAATTTACATTAATATTCACATTATTATTCTTCAATACCAAAAAATTGTAATAATAATTAATAATTTAGTACTTTTGGAATTAATATTCTTAATTATTTGATAAATAGTACCCTTAATTTTACTCCATCATCTGCCATTTCATCTTCAATGATTGCCTTCATTTCTAAGCCATATTTGAAGGCACACGTTACGTGATACGCTGTCTTACACGTCTTTATACTGCACTGGATGCAAGCACCGACCCTCTCTCGACACAATACACATATTAAGGCCCATCGACTTTGCTATAAAGAAAAATTTATTATATGAACTTAAAATTTTTACTTTTTTTCTATAAAATTTATATTGAACATATATGTATATATATATTTCACATACCGGAATGCTGGATATTTTAGTAATAGGCTCCATTCTTTCGACACAACCAATACTGACTTCTGGGATCCATAAAGCACAAGAAACATGAGCCCATTTTTGGCCACTACGAGTACACTTCATAGCACCACCTTTGTTAGGACAAAGAACACAATCTGGTCGTTGACTTAGAGAACAAGTTCTGCATAGCCATGAACCATCTGGTATTGAAGTAATTCCATAACATGCTTGATGTACACATATATTGCAGCAGTCACAAAATACCATTTCATTTCCTTCCTCAGAATCAGGCTAACAAAATAATTTTTATTACTATTCAGTATTATTAATCCTGTTTCATGAAATTAATCAGAAGATACTTACAGATCTGCAAACATCGCAAATCACATTTTCATCATACTCAATACCAAGACCTTCCTCATTCTTGACTATAGTTTGTATTCTTTCCCAACAACGAACTTCCAGTTCTTCTATCACACGTTCCAATTGTGATTCCGTAATAGGCAATTGTCCAGCCTAAAATTATAATGCAATTATAAATTATAAAATTATATAATAAAACTATGCAATTTTGAATAAACATTTACTTTCATATTTTGGCTGTAAAGAATAAAATTATTATACATGTATAGAGTTTTATTATTCATATCCATTAAATCTACTAAAATAAAACAGTAAACAAATATAGATTATTTATTCAATCAAATAAGAAATTTTTATTGACTTATTTAACGAAATATTATGCGATGAAAACTAGTCAATTTCAAGCATACCTGTGCACGTTCACCGTTTAATACATCCAACCAAGCAATATCAGTATCATCAAGGTCATAGGCACAAGCCTTTTCTGCTCGTGCTGGAGTTGTGCTTAAATGATGATCTTCAGGGTTGAAATAATCATCACGAGATATCCTTACGAACTTTTTAGGTCTACGAAAATTCCATCATTGAAGAAAATTAGCAAAAGACTATTCATTTATATTATATTAATTATAATTATTAATATGTAAAATGATACATGTCTAAAATTAAACTAAAAATCAAGAATAAAAATCACATTTCCATCAAGTATAAATCATTTTCTAACCAAATATAGAATAGACATTAGGTTTCAAATAATTTTTAAAATATTAACATTTCTTTTTAGAAAAATAAGATCAGTGGTTCCTTAAAGCATTCTATTAACTTTATGAAACCTCAAAGATTATATTTTAATATGCAGAAAGAATTTTTCTCTTGTAGTAGTACTTGCTACAGTACAGCAATTACCATGTAGATAATGACAATAGTGTTGTAAATTATAAGTAACATTATAATAATTGTTTCGAACAAAATTATTTATTAAATTCAATGTAACTATTGAATATCTATCATATTCAAAAAATAGTTATTTTCAGACATATTTAAAGAAGATACAATAAACTGTAAATATGACTTACAATTTAAATTCACTGTGCTGCTTTATAGGTGTAGCTTGTGTGATAGTGACTGTTGGTTCTGGAAGGGAGTCTGGGTTGACAGGTACTTGAACACCTCTCTCCCATTCTTGCTTCCATTGATCAGTAATAACCCAATATTCATTGGGACTTAGTGGCTCACTGTCAGGTAATTTCATTGCGCTAATCAAATCCTTACGAAATAATTCTGCAGGAGCCTCAGCAGAGGAGCGATTATATATACTAGAGATTTTAATGTCACAGAGTGGTCTGGGGGTCCAGGATGCCCCTCCTTGACTGGACGACGCCATCGTCTCCTCCTCTTCTGAGGGCCCCATGGTAGCTGCCAGCGACGACGAACCCGACGCTGGGACCAGCCTACATTTGCGCCTTTTGATTGCGCCTGGGCAAGACGCCAAATCATTGTCGTTTCTATTTATTCGTTTGCCTCGCTGTGCCATTCTACTATACCAAGTGAGCTAGCGGTACGTGGCACGTGCAGGTGAGCCGCGCACACCCTAAAACATTTCATTATTGTAAATTAAATGAATAATAAAAAAAATTTGAAGCAAAGGTATTTATTTAATTACTCACTACATAGTCGTCCATGTATTTATTATCTAGAAAGCGGATTCCTCTTGGAGCTGCAACAACAAAAATATAATTGTGGCTTTAATCTAGTTAAAAGAAAAGCTAAAAAAGTTTAATTAAAACTTCTTCAAATAATTATCAACTATGTCTTAACACCAAATATGATTCCTTGTGCAAAATTAATTGTTCTTCATAAATAAAGGAATATTTATATAGGAATAACAATATTACGTGATTTTAATAAAAATATTACATAAAATAAAATTTCCATGCTTAGATACAACAAATGGAGTATATCACATCAAAATGAAAACAAAGCAATATATAAAATCAACAATTTATGCATTACATTGTATAAATTTAAATTAATAACTGTTTGCAAAGAAATAATAGAAAAAAAGAATCAAATCTAGTAAAAATAGTACATAAATGCAATTATAATACACAGCAGTAACTGCGTAGAAAAAATATATAGAATACGATCATTGAAACATATTTCATACGATACACACTGCAATAATGTTCATCAATTAAGTAGAAATGTATTATTACACATAATAAAAATATAAAAGTAAATATAGATAAAGAATTGGTATTACACAGAGATCATAACTGTAAGACACAAAGCATTCCTTCGCAAACTGAATTTGCAAAGATAACATTTGAGATTAGAACTATTCGATAACACAAATTGACAATTCTACTAATTAGCACACATTAAGATGTTTATATCAGAATTCTAATAATGCAAACACGTTTGAGAGCATAACACTCGGACAAAAGGACTGATGGTATAGACCGATTGTATTGCAGGGGGTCTGCGGCCGTTGATCCTCGATGGCCGCCGCGGAGAGGTTATAAATGGGGCAGTCCAGCAGGAAAAGTTATTATTCGAATGAAATAGTTTTCCCGTAACGTAACAAGGCGTCGAGGAGTTGGGAAAACACAATAATCTTGGTGAAACTGATCGCCGTGGCGGGTGGCATGTAAACATTGCGACGAAGTTACTCCGCGGCGACGCTCGAGCGGCGCC